GTTGGCGATAGTGCCAAGACCGTGATATCCGCAGGATTACCTGCACTCTTGCGTTTACAGGAGTAACTGATGCGTTTTTGCTTGCTCTAAGGGCCCTACACTTATTGACAAGAGCCACTTTGTTGGCCTCCTGCGGCACCCATGATTGCTCAGATTCCGTCCCTATTGGTCTTGGAGCCTTCGCCTTAGAGCAGCAGTCGGAATATGCGCAGATGAACTTCTATGCGCGATAGCCGGGCGTAATTTTACATGCCGCCGACGTCATATGCATCATTTCCATTGCCTATTTAGTGTGTGACACCTTTTATACTAGTGCATCATGTTCTTAACATACTTTTAAAGTATTAATATGTTGAACTCCTCAAAAGCAAATGAACAATTCTGCACGAATCTTCAGCCATCAGCTGATTGCATCGCCCAGCCGGCTAGCCGTAAATACGTAAGCTAGGAATCAAGGCGGATGATTGGTTTTGATGATTGTTATCAGCTAACTCAAGTTTATTTTGCATGCTGATCCGAAACACTTAGCCTCAAAACCACAGCATTTGAAATGCTCCGTAGAAAATGAGTGAGCTCTATGTGCATGAATGCGTAGCACGCCTCTGTTTTATGGGGCTGTACGCAGTAAGACGGGTTTTCGTATTTAGTAGATAAATAAAGAAGTAAACATATACATGCATATATACACACACACACACACACACACACACATATATATATATATATATATATATATATATATATATATATATATGCATGCATGCATTACAAGCTACTTGTCGTAAAATGTGATGACAGAAATGCAAAGATATTTTTGAGGGACGGGGCCCACAATATCTCGTGGACCCCCTTGCCGAAATACTGGATCCGCCCCTGAAAATGTGTGCAAATCTGGAAGACATCCATACTTTGAGGGTACAATGCATAATGTTTGCTACTCCCAAACCTAGTTTGAAAAACTATGCCCCTGCTCGAAATGCAATTATTCCATCAATGTTTTAAAAACTTTTCAACCATTATTCACAGTCCAACCTTGACGTGGCGCTAACGTGAGTCTTGGTTGCTGGAAGTTTATTTGATACCCAATGATGTGGGCCACGCAAGTGCAGTGCAAGTAAGGAGTAGAGCGGCGTGTGTAAGAAATACACGCAATGAGCAGATAGGGGTGGTACAGGTTTCATTCCCACCTTCCCCTCTACCGAGAGTTTTACTTCAAATAACAGGTGGTTTTATGGTATTGTGGCCCAACTGTCCTATGAGTTCAATGAAGGGTTGGCATTTGTTTGTCTCTGAGCACAATGTTGGCTATTTCCTGATGATAGCATCCCTACTGTAATACGAAACTCTGGAAGTCATTCGCTCTGCAATGCTCATTCATGTGCATATTTTCGTTGAACTTGTGAGTGCGACATTGCATGGATGCAAATATGGTGTGTTTCATTGCTGTTTTTGTTAAGACTGAATTGTTAAATCGTCCTAATGGAACCAATAGCATAATCACTGTATACATTTAAGTACAGGCTGTGAAGGCAGATAGTCTGCCGTAAACGTAGCCTGCATTGATAGAAGAAATCAACATAGTTTGTTTGATGATGGCATAATGACAATTTGTGTAAGTGCCAATTTGTGATAAGTGCCAATTTGTATGCATGATTAGGGGGAGATAGTAACCCATGGATATGGTCAATAGATTAGGTCCAGAGAAGATGGTTTTGCGTTAATGTCATGTGTGTAGGAGCAGAGGGAGCAGGGGGTCCACGCCCCCCCCCCCACTACTTTTCATGGGAGGGGCCAGCAGTGTTAATTGCCCCCCCCCCCCCTCGTTTTTCAGATTAAGGTTGTGCTTAGCTTACTTTTTCACTACATTAGGCATACATGGAGGACTTACATATTTCAGCAGCCAGCTTCCTCGAAATGCACCATCTTTTTCGTTTGCCTCATTGGCCATCGCTTAGTGTCAGCCGCAATGGCCCGCCGCCGCGCGGTTCACGGAGACTTCAACGCTGGGCGTAAAGCTGTTGCATCTAGGACTTTCGAGCGCGCATATTCAAAAACCATATCACATAATTTTATCAGTAATCCATCCTGCAAGTGTTCAGTACATAACGAGGAGATTGATTCACATAGACAAGACAGTAGTATTAGCCTTTTTCCTCGGAAAAACCCGGAGAATGGAGATAAACTTTAATTGATATTTCGGCGACATGCCCCGGCAAGGCCCGGGGGTGGAAGAAAACGCGTGTTGTACATGGCTATCTATTAGTCTAGCGCAGGTGCGCCTGCTTTCTTAGCAGTCAGCACTATCCCGACGCTTGTTTCAAGGGCCAGTGTATGACTGAACGTTTCAGTTACGTGGTTGGTATTGAAATGTGACGGAATTGAGAGACTTTCGTTTACAGGCTGATTACTGATGGCGCTACTGGCATGGACTTGATGGACCATTTTGCCATCTGGCCTCACATTACGCTGCTGGCGACAAGTTTTTTCTCCAAAATTGTTCGTGACAAAGTACACTTTTACACCACCCCTGCCATCATATTCGCCATTGGATTATTTGTAATCGCCTGCAAATCACGTACAACTTCCCCTAGCACTTTGGCCATGATCTGTGCGAGGACTTCCGATGCTCCGGCTGCCCCGCATCACCCAGTGACGTCACCAACTGTACTCGGCACACAGTGACGTCACCAAACTGTAGGGAGCGCATGAAAGCAAAACTTATTGCAAAGTTCACGAAACGAATTCTTGTCTTTTTACGAGAGAGACTGCGTTTGCACGCAGCTGAGGAAACAGGTGATGTCACGAAATATTTACCTATCATTTGACAACGCTTTTGCAGCACAGCTCCGTGACGAACACAACTTTTGTGTTTTTGAAGACGCAATTGAAGAAGAAGTGCCTTGTATGGCCCCAAAGAATGATTATTAATACCGCGTGGTAAAATACTCATTTACGTAATCCTTTTCCATGTCTAGTTTTTAGCGCTTCTCAATCTCTATTTTTCATCAACTTTTGAACAAAGTTTGTTACAGCACATTTTCTAGCACTAAGCTACCACTGTACACCTGATAATGTCGCTTGCGTGGTTTACCGCTTGGATTTTCCTTGGAACCAAGGTGCGTCCGTGAGGCTGTAAGACACCGGTCGACGTTGGTCCTGGGCCGCAGGGCAACAGCTTTCTTCTTTCCTACATTTTCCCCAAATTCATCCTTGCGCAGCCAATGATTTCATGACCACACTAAAAAGCCTAAATCATGTCTTGCGACCTAGTCTGAAGTGTACCTATGCCTGCAAAGAAAATATTTGTATTGTACTTCGACAAGACCCGATTAGACCATGCCCCACCTGCTTTGCGTCTCTCTGAATGCTCAAAAAAGTCACTTTAAACGCGCCCGGCTGTGTCAGGTGTGTCGTATCCACAGCTTTTGAATTTATGTCAGCCAAGAGATCTCAGGCAAGACCAAAATGGCCACATGGTCAAAAGCGATGAAATGCAGCCATGGGTATTGCAAGAAAGCAGCGATCACCCAACTGATCTTCGTGTGTTACGTGGGAAAGTTCTATGCGGGTTCCTTATGTAACATGCACTCTCCTTATTCCTTATGTGTTAGGTACACGACCTCAACGTGCTACAGTTGGAAAATTTTGCAATATTTTCAAACTGGAGCTAATTGAATTGCGCGCGTAGCTGGATTTTAAGAACGCAGAGGTCCAGGCTTGTGGGTTCATGTGGTCTCCTTTTGCTAGAAATCAGACGTCCTCCGAGCGTCTTATCTTTGAATCGCATTTCATTGCCAGGTGCAACTGTACCTGTCGTGGGCCAATCCTTGCTCCCTAGAACAGGTCACACCTAAACGCTCACAGCGCAAGCTCACAAAACGCTTTTCAGAGCTGTCAAAGCGGTATGCTAATGCAAGCTCCGACCTTAAAATGCTCCTAACTTACGTATCACATAAAAACAAGTTTGCATCCGGCCTTCTAGTGCTCCATTAAATCTTAATAGCTAGTTTGCCTTATTCACATGCTGATGAAACATTACGTTTTATGCGTTCCTAGGTACGCCATTGGGGCTTGTAGGTTACTCATTCGGGTCTGTTAAGACCAATGCTTTTTTCTTATCATGGCGTGCTGGAAGTAAAAGAGGCAGACTTTTGTGTTACGCCTGGCAAGGTCAGCTACAGTCGTCAGAGGATATAAATCGATGAAAAGATGAGAGTTTATGGACATAAGGCTAGCGATATCAAAAGAAAGTTTCCCTTAGCCCTTAAGGACAAACTAGGTGCCCCATGTTGGTGGAAGTACATTTCCTAGTAATGGACATGCTGACAATATCCACAGAAGATGTAGCAAGAACTATAAGTATTCTTTGGAAATTGTCAGAGCGATGGAACGATTAGCTCGAAACGTGTGTTCGGCAATGGCGGACGGAATCCTAGTCACCAGAGACATCTAGTGGGAAGCATTCAATTGATTTCCTTAGTTGTGCAAGAGTGCTACCGCCTCGGCTTGGTTGCCTACCATCAAAAACGCGCATTCCATTGAACCCATCTGGCTACCTTGTAAGGGATCTATAATACAAAATAACACACTTAAGAATGGTCTGGTCACATACGGCTTACATCTTATTATGTGGGTCTGGCATTGGCACGTTATGCTATAGTTTGACCTTCGACATTGAGGATGTGGGTCCATCAGCAAAGGCTTTTCTTATTACTACGTGATAGCATTGTTTTATTTTTTACATCCGCTATCAAAACTACCGTCGCCTTCGCACAAGCTCTGCAGCGAGATAAAACAATGGAGTACATAGGACGTGAACCTTGTATTCCCAGTTACTGGAAGCATGACGAATGGTGCAATCACGACGGGTAATGGCCGAAGCATATCACACATGGACACATGTCATCAACTGGAACAACGGACGCTGCAGCATGGAAGACAGGACAAGACATGTAACGAATGCAGCTGTCTGCCGTTCAATGTTTAGATGGAAAAACTGTTTATTCAGCCTTCTCCTCGACTTCAGCAGCCTTGGCCTCCACGTTGTAGATCAGAGGAGTGCCGAAGCTGTACGGGTGGAGACCATAGGTCAGGGGAAGGGGAGAGGCAGCGTAGGTGATGGGGGCCGTCTTGACCTCGACCTTCTTCACCTCCGGGACGGCGTAGCGAACGACGGGGGCGGTGTAGTGGACAGCGGGGGCGGCGTAAGAGACCACGCTGGGCACGTACGTCTCGTGCTCCTTCTCGGTGACCTCGAGAAGGGTGGTGTCGGCCGGGGTGTCGGCCTCCACCTTATCCAGAGTGGTTGTTTTGAAGGTGGCCTTGGCCAGGGCGGGCAGAAGCACGGCGCTACGACGGCGACGCTCGGCGGCGACGACGGCCGGCTCCTCCTCGGCAGCCTCCTCGACAGCGGCAGTCTCCTCCTTAGCCTCCACGTTGTAGATGAGAGGGGCACCGTAGCCGTACGGGTGCAGGCCATAGGTCAGGGGAAGAGGAGAGGCAGCGTACGTGATGGGAGAGGCCACGTGCTTAACCTCAACCTTCTTGACCACGGGGGTGGTGTATGTGAGCAGGAGCAGCGTAGGCGAAGGCGTTAGCAGCGTAGGTGATGGGGACTGCCTTGACCTCAACCTTCTTCACCTCGGGGACAGCGTAGGAAACCACCGGGGCGGTGTAATGGACGGCGGGGGCGGCGTAAGGGACCACGCTGGGCACGTACGTCTCGTGCTCCTTCTCAGTCACCTTGAGCAGGCTGGTGTCGGCCGGGGTGTCGGCCTCCACCTTATCCAGGGTGGCCGTCTTGAAGGTGGCCTTGGCCAGGGCGGGCAGAAGCACGGCGCTGCGACGGCGACGCTCGGCGGCGACGACGGCCGGCTCCTCCTCGGCAGCCTCCTCGACAGCGGCAGTCTCCTCCTTAGCCTCCACGTTGTAGATGAGGGGCACCGTAGCCGTACGGGTGCAGGCCATAGGCCAGGGGAAGAGGAGAGGCAGCGTATGTGATGGGAGAGGCCACATGCTTGACCTCAACCTTCTTCACCTCGGGGACAGCGTAGGAGACCACGGGGGTGGTGTAGTGGACGGCGGGGGCGGCGTAAGAGACCACGCTGGGCACGTACGTCTCGTGCTCCTTCTCGGTGACCTTCAGCAGGGTGGTGTCGGCCGGGGTGTCGGCCTTCACCTTATCCAGACTGACCGTCTTGAAGGTGGCCTTGGCCAGGGCGGGCAGAAGCACAGCGCTGCGACGGCGACGCTCGGCAGGGGCGACGGCCGCCTCCTCCTCGGCAGCCTCCGGGGCGTCGGTGTCGGGCGCAGCGGCGGCAGCGGCCGCCGCCTCGGCGTACTTCTTGCGGAACTCGGCCTTGGCGGCGGCCACCTCGGCCGTGTCCTGCACCGGCTCGGGAGCCACGCCGTCGAACACGGGCGCCTCCAGGTTGAACTCGGGCGCCTGCAGGTTCGCCTCCGGGGCCACAGGAAGGTTGGTCGCCTTCACCTGGAAGCCGTTGACATCGTCGGCCGTGTAGGAGACGGTCTGCACCTTGCCGTTGGCGTCTATGTAGCTGTAGCTGCCAACGGTGGCGCCATCGAACCTCCTGAACTCGTTCTTGGCAGACGGGCCTCCGGCGTAGCCATAGTTGAACTGGCCCAGCTCATCCTGAGCGTGGTACTGCGAGCTGACGGTAGCGGCTGGCGCCGCGCTGTACACCGTCGGGGCGTAATGGTTGTACGCGCCGCCGGCGTAGTAGCTCACCGGGCTGTACCCGTAGTATGGGTACCCAACCGGCGAGTACTGGGCAGCGCCCAGCGCCCAGCACAGCGGACAGTGCGACCTGCGGGAACACAGACAGTTGGGCTCAATAGTGCGAATTTGCTTATGATTGAGCAATACTTGATCGTGTTGCATTGAAGCGAACAGATCCTTCTCCAAACGACCGCGAACTGACTGGAGCCAGCATACAGGGCAAGGGGCATTGGTGAAGCTATGCTTTGGATTTATGGAGGGAGTTTTGGACCTATGTCTTGAAAGCAAAGGATGATGTTCACTTAGGTGAAATTTTGGGATACCGTACTTCAGGATTGCGGCATCTGCTCTTCAGTTTTATCATATGCATGCTGACGTCATGTATCCGCAAATTGATTTCTTTTTGATTTGAGTTCATATACCTGCTTTTGCAACCCTTTGCAATTTGAGTATTAGCTTCAAGCTAGGAGTTGCCAATTGTTCTAGGTTTTTTAATCGCTTGAATTCCTGTGTGGTATCATGAAATTATAGAAAATGGCCTTTTCAGTTTTTTTATGCCTGCGTTTTTCTCGTTGTGAGAGTGTAAGTCGTTTTACGAGTGCCATCCAACTCATTTTGATTATCATGTTTGTCATTGAGTACAACGTTGCTGTTTGGTGCCTATAGGGGTGCATATATCAGACAAATTTCAGTGATTCCTTGCGGATTATATAACATACTTGCTGTCGGAAATGTGGCACATGGCTAAAGAAATCAGCTGTCGCTCATGTAATAAGCGGGACATAAAACTCCTGGCACTACTCCATGAAATGTGTACATATACCAATGTTTTGCGACAAATGTATCGTTTTAGAGCGGAATACGGCTGGTTGGAAATACCAAATAATTCGCTATACGTCTGGCAAGTAACACG